TTTTTTTTTTTTTTTTTTTTTTATGAACTTGAGATTTCATAGATCGGATTTATTATGGGTATATAAAAATCAGGATTATCCCATTTGAAATCTTGAAACCCTTTCTTTTTTGTTACTTCCACCTGGACACTTGTAAAACCAATCATAATTATTGCTTGAACTTCCAAACTTCGAAATATGACACAGAGGAAATTTTCTGTTCCCAGGCCTGGCACAGATGTGTCAATGGAATGATGACACAGTCTCTGGGCTCTGGGCTGGATGTTTGACATTTATCACATTTAATCCTCACAGCCACCCCATGTGTAGATTCTTTCACAGACCCAGTTTAGCCTCTTTGTTTGGGCCCCCCAGCTTCTCTGCTACTTACCATTGTCCATTGTAATTTCTAGGGAACCCAGGACCATGGGCCTCAAGGCTGGGGCTCCAGCCCTGAGAAGCCAGCACTGGGGGTTGCTCTTAGGCTAGGTGTCAGAGGCAGGAAGTCAAAAAGATGACTTCTAGCCTGACACCCTGTTGTGTTTCTCTGCTTGGGTTCCGTCCGCATGAGGAAGGTGTTAATGGGTGAAATAGCGTGTGTGTTTTAAGGTTTCCTGTCACTTTAAGAATTTCATCTAAGGCAGCAGCTGGCAGCAGATCGCCATCCAGAAGCCCATAGAGTCTAGGCCACTGATGGGAGGGGTGTATGGTGACCAGGGCATTCTTTTAAGATAACATGAGGGTTTTGCTTCTTAGAACATCTGAGTTAGCACTGTGCCTCATGGAGAGTTAAGTCTTAAATGGAAGAAGGCCATGTGATACAGAAGAGCCCCAAGTCTTGGATTTGAATTCTGAAGCCACTGTGTGACCCAGGGCAAGTTAATCAGCTTTTCTGGGTCTGTTTCCTCATGAGAGCCTTGGCCTGTGTCTAGGGCTCTTTCAAGTGCTAATTGTACTTAACATTTATTTTTGAGAGCTGACTATGTGTGGGGATGTAATAATTAGGGGCTTTTTACTTATCTAGGCTTCTCAAGTGTAAATGTGTTTAGAATCATAAGGGGATCTCCATGAAAAGCAGATTCTAGATTCTGATCATGCAGGTCTGGGAGGGACCTCAATTCTGTATTTCTACCTAGTTCCCTGGGATGCATATGAGCTGCACTTTGAGAAGGCTGGTTTTCCGGGCACTTTGTTCCCATTGTAAGGCCAAGGAAACCTGGGCTCAGAGATGTTAAGTTACCTGCTCGAGGACACTCAGCATTGGAACAGAGCTCAGGCTCACTTCACACCCCACTGCTGTGCAGACTTGGAGCTTCTAACTACCCTCCGTCTGCATTGCCCCTCTTGGGGTGAAACTTGGACTAGTGTTGTAACTGTAATCTCAATCTTTACTGAAAAGAAAAATTAAAAAAGAAAAGAAAAATATGAGCTGACTAGGGGATCAACAACCAGAGTAAGAGGAGAATTGGGCTTTTTTCCCCCCTCACTTTGTCACCACCTTGCTTTGTGAGTTCAGGCAAGTCACCACTCTGTGCTCCAGCTGTAAGCCACCTGACCCATCTGGATTTCAGAAGTCTGTAAAGGACTTTGAACTCCTCAGCAGTAAGCAAACCCAAGTTATCGTTGAGCTATTTTTTCAGCAACACGAATTATGGAAGCCAAAGCTGCTGACCTAGCCTGGCCAGGCTTTGGTCAGGATGTTCACCCAAGGCTCAGGGAGGCTGTGCCCTGCCAGGACTGAGGCGAGTGGCCCGAGGTTCAACCACTGCCCTCCTCCTGGCAGTCACAAAGTCTGTAGTGGTGTGGGTGAGCTCAGAAGGGGAAATAAATCGGAAGCCTGCTCACTGCTGGCAAGTGCCCAGAGAGAGCAGCACGTTCAAGTGTGACCTTTTGCCCTCCAGGAAGGGCAGGGAAAGCTGCAGCATGGCTCTGTACTGTGTCCCGAAAGCTGTCCCGGGAAGCTCTGCCTGCCTGGACTTTTTCCCATCAGGAGAGTTGTGAGGTAGGGAGAGGGCCAAGGGCAGGTGGCCGTTAGTATGTACTGGGAAGGAGAGGTAGGTGAGGCCAGGTGGCGTGAGGGAATCAGGAATGCCAGGCCAATACTTGGTAACCCTGGATTCTGGGCCTGAACCTGCCATGCCTGGTAACCCTGAATGGATCGCCTCATGCCCTGCCCATCCTCAGTTTCCTTATGGAATTAAAGGGTCGGGACAGATGAACACTGCTACTCTTCCAGGCCTAGTGCTTGAGCGTCTTAGTCCTGTGGCCTGCTGCAGAGGCTGGTGTGTTTAGCTT